GGAAGAGGAGATTCACAAAGAGGCGGGGGAAATAGACTGTGAGGATCTGTGGGCAACAGGGCCCCTGGAGGATCTTCCACATCACCAGAGTTGCCTGCGGAGGACAAAGCAGCCCAAGACAGCGCTCAGTGCCGGGGCGTCCGTGTGGCAGGGCCTGAGCGTGGCAGGGAGAGGCCGGGGCAGACGCAGGGGGAGCAGCGGGCCTGGTGGCCCTGAAGCTGCCCCTAGGCCAGGTTTGTGGCCAGTGCCTGAAGCAGGGAGATGCAGTGGGGGAAGGAGGCAACAGAGCTGCTGGAGAGGTGGCCGGCCTTGCGGTGAGCAAAGGCCAGCTCCAGAAACTCACAGTCAGGGAAAAGACAGCCGTCTTGTCCCCATCAGAGGTGCCCAGGTTTTTCTGCGGCCAGCTCCCCACCACATTGATGAGGAGCGGTGTCACTTCCTCTGAAATCCAGGGCGAGAGCAAGATGGTCGTCCACATGGCCATAGCAGCTCTGCGGGGTCAGACACAGCACCGTGGGCTGGGCAGCAGCGGGGAGCTGAGCTGGCCGCCAGCTCTGCCTGTGCCCACTGGCCCTGAGCGGCAGCAGCAGCCAGGCAGCCCAGCCCTGTGGGGACAGGCCCCTGAGGGGCAGGCTGGCAGCACGGCAGCAGGCTCGGGGGCCGACTTTGTAGCAGGGCTGGCAAAGGGAGCAGCCAGAGGGCCCTGCAAGTCTGTGTTGCTCACAGCCCTGGGCCGGGCTGTACAGGGTGATGGGCTGGGGAGCCCTGAGGCCTCGGGGCAGCTGGGCCCCATACCTGTCACACGTTGGGGCCACCCGCAGGAGAGTGATGGCCACATCATCGGGCTCTGCCTCGGCCACTTGCATCAGGGCCCAGTCCATCCTGTGCTCAGCAGCCTCATTGGCCATGAGCCACTGGTGGATGTACCTCACCACGCCGGGCACCTGGAGAAGGCACAGGGAGACTTGGAATGCTAGCAGAGGGAGTCAGCAATGTGCCCAGCTTCTTCCCCAGACAAGTGCTTCTCTTCCAGCACGCTGCCATGGCCTCAAAAGCTTCAAGTGAGCAGCAGGCGTGGCTTGGGAAAGCCAAGCAATTGCTGGAGGATCAAAGGCTGGCCACAGGCTGCTTACTTGCTCTGGATTGAAAAGAGCCGTCTCTACAAGCAGATCCAGCTGGGCAGCGCTGCTCTGTTCTACCAAGACCTCTGAGGATGCTTTGACCTCAGTGTCCATAGGTCTGGTGTCTTCCTTGCCAATTCTCGTGATGAATTGGTAAAGAAACTGTAGGAGAAGGGCAGGAAGGCAGGGAAGTTGCATGGAGTGCTCCAAGTGCGGTGCTGGGCTGAGCAGTGCCAGCAGGCCCAGCGCAGGTGGGGATGGCTGCAGGTACCTGCGCTGCTCTGCGGAAGCGGCCACGGGCGGTGTCCTGCTCTTGTGTGCCGTCCATGGCTGCATCTGGCAAAGAGCAGCCAGAGCTGAGGGGCTGCGGGAGAGGCCGGAGAGCACAGCCCAGCCCTGCGTTCCGCAGGCAGGGACAGTCCCGGGATGCCCCAGGGGATGCAGCACGGCCACTGCTGCGGGGGCAGCCCCAGCCCCTTTTTTGTGCTGTCCATGGGTGTGTCTCCACAGGACAGTGTGGGATGGGATGAGATGGGATGCAATGGGATGGGATGGGGCCAAGATGGCCGCAGGCACCAGCCCTGTGGCCCAGCTCTGCCACTCACCCTCCTCCAGCGGCTGCAACTGCTGCACCTCTTCGGTCTCTGGTGCTGGGGCAGCTCCAGGGCCTTCTTCCTCTTCCTCCTCTTCCTTCTCCACCCAGGCCAGTTTGGGCACTCTTGGTGGTCGCTGCTCCGTATCTTCTTCCAGACTCTCCCATCCTTTCCATAGGAACAGCACCAGGGGATGGCATGGCATGGAATGGGATGGGGCCAAGCTGGCAACAGGCACTAGCCCTAAGGCCGAGCTCTGCAACTCACCCTCCTGTCGTGCCTGGAACTCCTGCACCTCTTCAGACTCCTGTGCCGGGACAGCTCCAGAGCCTTCTTCCTCCTCCTCAAGCCAGGCCAACTTGGGCACTCTTGGGGGTCGCTGCTCCATGGCAGTGACTGGATTTATGGCTACTTGCAGGAGAAATGGCTCGGAAAAGCTCGGAGTCAGCAAGTCCTGCAGTCGTGCCTGGAAGGCACCTGCAAGACTCAAGTCCTGGCAAGATTGCAAGACAGCGAGTCCTGCACTTGGGTCTTGAGGGCTCCTGCCACAACGACAGGAGGCTCCTGGTCACAGATTGTGGTGTGGCCTCAGGGGCAGAGACTGCAGGGATTTTAGATGCCTCAGACAGCAACCTCCGTGCATGAATGAAATGTTGCAGGTCCTGACACCGCTCCGGGCGCTCCAGCACCATCACGATGGCGTTGGGGAGCTCAAACCACTCCAGCAGCAGCACCACACCGGGGAAGCCTGTGGACACCTTGTCCAGCAGCACGATCTCCAGAGGTGTGCTGGTGCCGTCGGGCTGCGGGAGGAGCACGGTGCCGTCAGTGGGGCTGAGGCCGTGCCAGGGCTCGGGAAGCTCTCAGCCAGCCCGGGATGCTCTGCGCCCTCCACTGGCCCCATGCCCGCTCTCCCTCCAGGTGTCCTAGCGGCTCCCACCCTTCCAGGCCCCAGCTCATCCCCGCCTGGCACTCCCCGGCTTCTGCCGCTTGCCCCGCTCACTCACCAGCTCGCCCCAGTGCCGGACGCGGTTCCGTGGCACCTTTTTGATGGCCACCTGCAAGCCAAAAGGAACAGCGGATTCAGCTCGCCGCCCACCACATCCAGCCCCATCCTACTCCTCTGCTCCCTCCTCCTCTTCTGCCCTCTCCTCCTCCTCGGCCCGCCACCGGCCCCACCGCTCATCGGGAGTTCGTCCGAGAGCCTCGTGGCCGTGAAAACTCTGCCGAAGCCACCGCGGCCCAGCAGCGAGTCGATCCTGTAGCGCTGCTGCAGGGCCTGCTGCGCCTTCCCTGGGGAAGAGACGCTGCCGTCAGCGCTCGGCCCGGGGCCAGGAACGGCCCCCGAGCGCTCCCCGACCTCCCCGGGCCGGGCATTCGCAGGCGTTCCCTCATTGGAACGCGACAGCGGCGGCTCGGGACCGGCGGCTGCACCGCTGAGCGGCGGAGCTCGGGCCGGGGAAGCCGCAGCGGAGGCGGCGACAGCGGCCGCGCCGTCTGTGTCCTCCGCGGGCCCCGGGAGGAGCCGGAGCCGGGGCCGGGGCCCGAACCAGAACCGGAACCGGAGCCTGCATGGGGCCGAGGGCGGGGCAGGCGGAGCCAAAGGGTGGCAATGCCGCCCCAGCCCCAGGCACTGATGCCCGCCCAGCACAGCCAGAGCCCAGGCAAAGAGGAGACCTCTGCGGGACGGGCAGGGATGGGGACGGGGAC